AAATGACTCAAATGTCCATTAAAAGTAGAATGGATAAAGAAAGTTTGGTTATATTACACAACAGAGTGTTACACAACAGTGACAAACACCAGTACAATCCTGAGAAACAGCATGGGTGAATCTTGCAGACGATACCACTTGCAGACATCAGTAAGTGTTTGTGTTGGTTTTTCTGATTACACAACACTCATAGTAGGCATAACTTATCTAGAGGGCTAGAAGTGAGAATTATAGTTACATTTGGAAAAACAGATGACTGGAAAGGGACAGTAGATTGCTGTGCGTTACTGCCTATTTCTAGATTTTGATTTGTGAATTGCCTGTCTGGGTAAACATTTGTTAAAAAGTCATCGATCCATATATATATAGTGCTATTGACTATGTATGTGTTTTACCATAATGAAAAGGCTAAGAAACAGAAATGAATTTCACAGACACATTTGACTTGGGAAAAATCAACAATAAATGAATGATTATTATGTTAATATTGTGACTGGGAAAGTATAATTGAAGCGATTTTTTATAAAGGAATTATGCTGTTGTAAAAGATATAGGAGACAATGAAAGAGAAGAAGAGCCTAATATAATTCATACTCCAAACCTGGATGATTACAAAACCTTTGCCATAAAAATCAAAACAAGGGCTGGGGATTTAGCTCAGTGGTGCCGCCGCCTGCCTCACAAGCGCAAGGTCCCAAGTCAGATCCCTGGTAACCGCCCCCCCCCCCAAAAAAAATCAAGAGTAAAGACTTATTCCAAGAGATGATCATAAATTGTGCTTTGAACATACTAGTTTGAAGTGAAAAATACCTAAATATAAAGTATTTATACCGAAGTCTTCTGTGAATCTTTAGAAAAATATCTTTGAAATCATTATATGATTACAAAAAATTACAACATAATTACACAGAAAAAAATCACGCATTGAAGATTACCACAGCTTTGAATTACACTCAACACTGGTATGTTAAAAACATTATAAAATTATTATAATTTTTATCCCCAAGACAAATCCTACTTGAATATGACATATTATCCTTTTTCTATCTCTCTGGGCTCAATTTACTAATAATTTGTTAAAGATTTTAAAATCTATTTTCTGATGGGATACTGATCTATAATCTTTCTGTAATATCTTTGTCAGAGTTTGATATCAAAATTACACTGGCTTCATAAAATGTTCCTGCCTCTCTCTTTTTTTTTTTTTTTTTGGCACCAAAGACCTTGCGCTTGCGAGGCAGGCGGCAGCACCACTGAGCTAAACCCCAGGCCCCTCTCTTTCTGAAACGGTTAAGGTTAAATTGGCTCTTCCCTCTTTCCTTCCTTTCTCCCTCGCCCTGCTTCTCTCTCTCATGCTATAACTGTCCAGACCTGGAATTTCTTGATGAGAAGAATTCAAATTATGAATTCAAAATGTCTAAGAAAATATATAGGGATATTCAGGTTTACTATGCCTGCTTTCATCTTTTATTATTTTTTATTTCAATGATTTTCCATTTCATTTAGTTCATTGAATTTGACATGAAATTTTTAATTATATGCCCTTCATGCTTACTTATGTAGGATCTATGATCACATCAGCTTTCTCATTTTCTAATATTGGTCATTTATATTTCTTTTAAATTCACTTCTAAGGATTTATCAATATTTTCATCTTTTCAAACACTGACTTTAATTTGTTGATTTCTGTGTTTTTGTATTTTAACTTACTGATTTCTGTTCATATCTGTATTACTTTTTCTATGTATTTTTTCTTTAATTTTCATTTAGGATTTTAGCTTCCTAAGCACTTTAAACATTTTCTTCTAAGCACAGCTTTACTTACCTGCCACAAATATTGACACGCTGTTTTCATCACCTTTCTTTATCATTCCGTTAGAAAATATTTTAACACTCCTTATTACTTTCCTGTAAGCCAAATATTATTTACAAATACTTACTAAAGATTTATGCATAGCTTTACATTATTGTGTCTATTTTAATTCTATCATAGTCACAGAACATCCTCTAAATTTCACATAATTTTAAAAATTAAAAGCTTTAACTATTTGAAAATTTTTGAGACTTATTTTATTGTACAGCCTCGGTCCACTTGGGGAATGGTCTATGTTTACTTAGTAAGACTACTTCCTGTACACATGTGTAAATACCGAATAGTTTCTCTAGTGTGAGAAACTGAAAGTGTAAATAAGGATTAAAATGATTAAAATGAATAATTGA